AGAAAGAATCTGCCCACTGCCCCCCCTCCAATTTCAGCAGGAATCAAGATAACCTGAAGGACTGTGGTTAGAAAATCACCAAATCCTCCAAAAATAGTTGGTTTTTAGTTGAGTATTGGCAGTTTCTTTCCTGGCCGCTTTGATAGGTCTTAAATCCTTTTCCCCCCAAATTTTTTATTTTTAACAAAAGGGGTGACAGAAAGGAAAAGGGAAATTGGAATTGATGGGGGAGAAGAGAAGCAATAACATACTAACATTCATTCTATACCTATTAGGGGTCGTAAATCCTTACTGAGTGGGCGAAATCTTGTGCAAATTTATGCCAGCTATGGGTTATTGGAAATATACATTTTAAACTAATGGACAACTTCAGCCCTTTTATGAGGTTTCCCAGGGAGCCCTTTTTTCCTGGAGAAGCTTTTGGTAGATTAAAAAAAGAGAAAAAGGTCATAACCACAGCAATTTTTTTTTTTTTACTGTTAAAAGCTCCTCTCCCCACCCTGTCCCAAAGGTTTGTCCTGGGCAGAATGGAACCCTAGAGAGCTTCAAAACCTGAATGAAGTTGGGAGCTTCCTGTTTAAATATTTTCAGTACCCAGTATAGGCTGTACCAGCATAAGTCTATACGTAAACAGTAGCCATTACCTACTCATTCACGGCTTTATTCGTCAATCTAATGCTTAAATGACATTTGCTATGCACTGTAACTATAGTGATTTTTATTCTAGTTCTTTTAAAATGCAAGTTAGACTAATTTTGAACTTGTTTTCCTTCTTTGCAGTTTAATAGGTTGGGGACAGATTAGAAGAGGAGTGACAATCAAGCCCACAGTGGATGATGACTGAAGAGCAGAAATTAGTGCTTCACTTCATAAAAGATTAAACATGTTTCCATATATTTAGGGGTACATTTTTGGTGTGGAAGCAGCTGAACAGACTATATCCACATTACACTGAAAATCAGACTCCTTAGTAAAACTGGTCAGCATCTGCAATAAAAATGAATAATTTGGCAAAGATGCATTTAAAGTATCCACAACTTTAGCAAAACTAAACTTGTCTCGTGTTTAATTTATGTCAGATTGTCTGATACTATTTGGGGCTGGTTTACCTAACTTCAAACAATGTAACTCAGTACCCCATAATCTGTTTTTGAAATAAAAGAATTGCTTATTTTTTCATTTAATTCTTATAAGTCCTTGAGTAACATAAAGTTTAAAAGATTGTCAGTGAAACATTTTAAAAAAGAAAATAAACTCTCCTTGGAAGATTAATCCTCTTTATTGCCCAATACCTTGGTCTGTATGGTCTTCAACCTTCTAGAAAGTTTCATCTCCCAGATTAACTACATTTTGCTTAAATTTAGATTTGTAAGAATTGCCGATTATGCTTGAAATACACGTTTCTGAAACTTTAAAAGGACATAAAATACCATTTTCATACTGAAATGCCAGACATGCACCCATATTTGAACATAATGAGCCACGCCTTTTGAGAATAATGGGAATTTTGAAAAATCATGGGTAACCAGTGCTGCAACAAGTTTGAAGTTTCGCAGCCCTCTCCTTTTCCAATGCGGAAAGAATAGAGACCTGATGCTAAACCAGGTAATTTTTCTTTTTACTTTTGAGTTTCATGTTCATTCTGCATGTACGGCTCTTGCAAACTGGCAGTCCTGGGAGCTACCGTTTTTTCTTTTTTATATTGTAGAATTTTTGACTTAATGGCACTTCGTGTCTGCATGTGTTTGTTTCCTTATTAGATTCTGATAGTTAAGTACCAAAATGTATATTTAGTGAAACAAAACTCAACTGTAGTGCCACCATGTCTGTTTTCAGTACACTTGGGTGTTGGTATATGAAAAAGAAACCATTGTTCTTCATTTCAGCATTCAGTAATGCACTTTGATTATTATTGTTAATTAGATCTGTTCAAACACATAGGTTGCGGCAATGATTCTCACTTTGGTGATTAGGATTTGGCTTCTCAATTAAATTGAACAGCAGGGTTTGGATTTGGTTGTACTAACAATTGAATTTGAACACCAGATTATCATTTGGTGAATGGCTTTGTTAATGAGGGGACGTGGTGGCGCTGCGGGCTAAACCGCAGAAGCCTGTGCTGCAGGGTCAGAAGACCAGCAGTCGTAAGATCGAATCCACGCAACGGAGTGAGCTCCCGTCGCTTGTCCCAGCTCCCGCCAACCTAGCGATTCGAAAGCATGCAAATGCAAGTAGATCAATAGGGACCACCTCGGTGGGAAGGTAACAACGTTCCGTGTCTACGTCGCACTGGCCATGTGACCACGGAAGACTGTCTTCAGAGAAAACGCTGGCTCTACGGCTTGGAAACGCGGATGAGCACCGCCCCCTAGAGTCGAACACGACTGGACAAAAAATTGTCAAGGGGGACCTTTACCTTTACCTTTAGTTAATGAAGCCCAAAAGCCAATGTAAACCTTACACGCTATCTTTATCTTCTCAAATTGCTACTTCAGAAACACTTCGATTAATGCACTTTCCCTTTGAGTTCTGTCCTCCTTTGCGGGCTCATAATAGTTAACATGTTCACTTGAATAAGACAGAAAATGAAAAGGTAGACCTTGAGAAAATGTGAACTGGATTGTAAGGTCCTCTTTGACATTTGTACATTGGCCAAGAAATTATAGAGGAAGAAGTTGTTGATCCCAGTGTGAGTTCAAACTGCATGCCTAAGAGTTGGGAACTTGTTTGTGCTTAGGTAATGAGCCATGTTTACATCTTACTGCTCTCTCACCACTGATCATTGTACACATGCAACTATTTTTACAATTGGTATATGGACTATTGCAATTAGACCCTGAGAAAGAGTTGAGCGTTTGCTGTGATATTTACAAGGTACATCAAGAGGATGGCAGCTTATATTTACTCTGAATGTGAAACCAGTTACAGTTGTTGAATAATCCAAAGTACTATCTAGTCTGATGGCATCAGTTCAGTTTTGTACTGATAATGGTTTGAGGATGCGGATGAAATTCTCAAATTTAAGCCCCCAATATCTTGACTATTAAATCTAGTTCAAGAGTGGGTGATCTCAGTGGGCTTAGAGGCAAGATCATTGCTGTTCAGCCCCTCCACAAACGGGCTCGGGTTTGTATAAGGAAAGTCTTGGGGGGTGTGGACAACTTCTCACAGCTTCTAATGTAAAAACTGCCATCTTGTCAAGGTGCTTTCCATGTTAATTCCTCAAAGTCTCTAACATGGATAATGTTTAAGGAGGCTAGAATGTGTAATCCAAATCTGGAGACCACCTGGTTGTTTCCCCCTCTGCTATAGTACCTTCTTCCAAAAGAGGCTAATTGGATGCTTCTGGGTGGCTCTCAAGCAGGAAATGAAGTAATCAGTTCTTCCTGCTCTTACTATTCAGTTCTGTATTGATACTCCATGCAACCATTATGATTCATAGCCTAACAGACCTGCACATATCTCTGAATTGCCTTTGAAAGCCATCTAAACTCATGGTCTCTACCACATCATGTAGTTAATTCCATAAAATGTTAAAGTACACAACACAAAAGTACTCATTTTAATATATGCCACTATGTAATTCTCCCCAGATAGGCTGTGTCAAAGAAAAAAAAACAATTCATGAGTAAGTGACAGCAAAAATATACAACTCACATAAATTTTCAGTAAGACAGCAATGTACTGAATACAACATACACATTTGTTAAAGGAATTTAAATTGTACACAAGCAGGTTTTGTCAAAAAGTATAGTTGGCACGTGTATAGACTGCATCTTGATATGATTAATTTAACAGTACCAATAACTCCGACTTAATAAACTACAATCAAATTCCACTCTTTTAAAAATGGGTAATATTGGAATATTTTTATGTTTCTGAAGGCAAAGAAATAGCAAAGCCCATTCTGTAAAGACATTTTTCTCTAAACTTTTTAAGGGGAAAGGAGATAAAAACTAAGATGAACATATCTATATACATGGCATCATTACAGCTTGCCCTTTAATATCACTACAGCTGGAGAAATAACCTAATTTTATATGTGCTTGTAACACGTCTGCAACTAATCATGTTACAGTACTTAGTTTTCTTCTCTCAAATACTAACTAGCTTTCCAATACGTGAAACACATGTCTGATTTTAAATGTTATATTAAGATGTCACAGAAAATACACAACTGCTTGACAAATAAAGAGTTCAGAAGCTGGAACTCTTTAAGAAAAAAAAATACATTGTTTCCACTAGTAGTACAGCATATAGGTAACAAGTGATGTATGAAAGTCCATTTCCCCACAAATTATACTTGATTGTCGAAAAAATACTAACGTCCCCAATGTAGCGTCAAGAAAATATGGGAAACTGACATTTGCGAAACAGATTTTATGTTAATTTCCCGTATTTTCGGCATTCTTTTCCTTCCTTTCTTGTTTTTTGGCTGATGCATAACTAAAAACATCCGCTCTAAATTAAGTGCACCTAGTTACAATATTAAGAAAGGAGGAGGAGGAGGAGAGATCGGGATTAAGTAGGGTTTTAATTTGAAAATATAATAGGATACCTCTTATTTTTCACTTTCAAAAAGGCAGCGGGGAGGCTTAAACGGGAGCAACCGAAGGGGGGTGTATTGAAATTCCGGAGGCGGAGGTGCCCCGGCCAGTGCCTGAGGAAAAGTCACCCGAAAATGTTGGGGATTTTCCAGGCCTAAGCAGTTCTCCGCTCCCCGGCGCCGAGTTGAGCAAGTCTGAGCCCGGAGCGTAATTTTACGGCCAAGCTGGAACGGAGGCGGCGGCAGGAGCAGCTGCGTCGGGAGGGGCTGGCAGAGACCCGTCGCCTTTCCACTTCATCTTCCCGGCCCGGTTCCTTCGCCATTACCCGACCCGCTCGGCTTTTAGTCGCGGACCGAGCGGCCCAGACCGTGGCAGCGCCGGCATCTCCCTTCCGCATTTCCCTGGGTCTCTCTCGGGCAGTGACGTGACGTGCTGACGGCTGCCCGAGCAGCTGCGTCGGGAGGGGCTGGCAGAGACCCGTCGCCTTTCCACTTCATCTTCCCGGCCCGGTTCCTTCGCCATTACCCGACCCGCTCGGCTTTTAGTCGCGGACCGAGCGGCCCAGACCGTGGCAGCGCCGGCATCTCCCTTCCGCATTTCCCTGGGTCTCTCTCGGGCAGTGACGTGACGTGCTGACGGCTGCCCGGCCCGGGGAGCTTGGCCGCTTCCACTCAGCTCCGAGCTCGGCCCCTCCCTCCCCTCCGCNCCCGCCACAGCGACATTACCACCGAGATCGGCCCTGCTACGCGGAGGAAGGCCGCCCCGAGCCCGCCACCGCCGCCCCGCCCGGTAAGCAAGACGGGACAGGCCCGAGCTAGGCCCTCACCCACGCGCGGAACCAGGCCTTGGCTCCCGTCGCGGTGCAGGCCCCGAGAAGGCCGCAGCTAGGCCGCGGCAAGGCTCCTTCGTGCAGGAACGGGCCCGAAGGCCGTGCTGAGGGGACGAGACGGCTGAAGCTTGGCCAGTCGGAAGCGGGGAAGTGGCAGGTTGTGGTGAGGTGCATGGGGAGATGGGATGAGGCCCGGGCATGGGGGGAACAGAACCAGGCCCAACCTGGAGGGAGAGCTTCTGGGAGGAGGAGACAAGATGGCGGCGGCAAGGGAGGCTGGGGGGAAGAGTACTGGCCGCCATCTTGAATTAATCGCTTAGAGCCCGAGACAGTCCCCATTACGGGCAGGGCAGGGCGGAGACGGCGCCAGTGGGGGAGGCTCGCCCCTCCCCTCCTTTCTCTGTGCAGTGCCCAGTTGTCCTGCCTGTCTGCTCCTGGCCCGATGCGCGCCAGCCCCACAGGCATTTATTTGAGCCATCATTGTAGCATGCGGCGGGTCGAGAGGCGCTTTCTGGTTCTTTTTATTTCTCTGCTTTACGGACCTGTGTGGTTACATGATGGCCCGTCACCACAGGGCACCAGCAACGTACGCAACCGCCCCCTCCTCCGCCGACACATAGGATGTTTGCTTGCTTGTGGCCTCGCCACAAATCAGATTTGGTCAAGGGGCTGTCCTGGGGGGGAAGCATAAATAAAACGTATTTCCTATGAACGGAGGACTGTCAGAGGCTGGCGATGCGGAGGAAATAATTTAAACCATGGCGTTATTACAAAAGGCTAGGCGATTGTTTTATGTGTTTAAGGGAGTATCAACTCTTTCACATGATAGAGCTTCCATATAAATTCAGCTGAGATTCCTCCCACAGTAGTTGCAGTACATTTGGATGTCTAAATGTCAAACGCCCAGTTACTTGGGGGCAGAGGATACTGTTTGCCCAGGTTAACCAACAGTGGAGGCAATGAAATCTTCCTTCACATGATACAATGCCAAGCTGTGTCTTCAGATACATGGCTAGTAGATTGTCCTATATATGAGAACATAACCAGTTGGGTTACTGCAAATCAGAAAGTCCACAGTGAAAGAATGATAAGGTCTCTTAAGTGAACCTGTAAAAAGCCAAGGAGTTGGATAACATTTTTCAGCAAATGAGTGTTACTGTTTTCCTTAAGAGGGAAAATAATGCACCCAAACACAATGTTGTGGATGTAAGCCCCATTGACTAAGAAAGACTTATTTCTGACTTCATGTGTAGGATTGACTTGGAAAAATACAGGACATTATCAGGTCAGTGAATATGGCTGTAGAAGGGATTCTTCATGAAATATCACTGCACATGCATTTACAAAGAGAAATGGCCATATCTTCCTGCCACTTTTTGTGAGGTGAATGTAAAACAAGGACATTGTTTATGAAAATGTAAACAGGATAATATAGTAATGTTACAATATTCTAGATTCAGCACTCTTATTGGAACAAAATATAAGATTTTAATGCTCATTAGTTAACCATTAGCTAAAAGTTATTTAAATATATATTTTGTTTGGAAAGGTACTTATGAAAAACAAACCAAAATGAAGAAAAAAGCAAGAGATAAAAATATCGCACCTTAAAGACTAACTGCTGTATTTTAATGTGAGCTTAACGTGGCTACTTCTTCAAAAACTACTTGCACATGGTTTAATATCTCAGCATTGGGAGCTTTCATTATGAAGAAGTCTTAGCAGAAAGTTTTGGATCTGAAGAGAGATGAGGTGGCTGGATAGCTCAGTGAGTTAAGTACGGGGCTGTGGAACTGGAGGTGAGGAATTTGATTGGCTACTAGGCCCCCTTGGAGAATTGGTAGCCAGTGTAGTTTTAGGCAAGTTCAGAAGGGAATGGTATACCCCTTCTGAGTACTTCATATCTAGAAAAATTATGGGAACAGTCACCACAAGTCAGAATCGACTTGAAGAGACATAATTATAGAGAGAAATACTTGTGCTTAGAGGCAGGAATTTCTTGCTGGAGGACAGATGTACTCTTCTGCTTTTTGTATTCTCGAAGGCTTTCACGGCCAGGGTCCGATGGTTGTTGTAGGTTTTTCAAGTTGTTTGGCTATGTTCTGAAAAGGCCAAACAGTCTGAAAAACCTACAACAACCATCTTCTGCTTTTCTTGTTTATAACAAGCAGTGTAGGGGGCTTCGACACATCAGTTATCTCTGAAGATGATGATTGCGTGCCTTCAAGTCAATTCCAATTTACGGCAACTTTTTCCATGGTTTTCTAGATACAGAGTACTCAGAAGGGATATACTGTTCCCTTCTTCTGGGGACAGATGGTGTGGCTTGCCAAAAGCCACATAGGCTGGCTCTTCTGAATCTCACAGTGGGAATCAAACTCTCAATCTCTGGCTCCATGGCCAGATACGTAATACACTGAGCTATCCAGTTAGCTCTATAGGTAGAAAAAGTGACGGTTTTTGACTAATTCCCAAATCCCAACATTCCCATTGTCCATGTTAGGTGGTGATAGTGGTGGTTAGCTGGTGGTGGGAGTTATAGACCAAAAATCTATATATATAATTTTCCCAAGGTCTGGCTGCCTCCTCTCCTGCATAATAACACCAGTAGTGGGCAAGAATTCAAGTAAAACAATTAATAATAATGACATGACATAAAATTGATTCTAACTGAACTGCTGGATAGCTCAGTGGTTTAGGTCTCTGCTGCAGAGCCAGAGGTTGGGAGTTCAATTCCCCACTGGGCCTTCTTGAAATGGGCTGGACTCGATAATCCATAGGGTCCCTTTCAGCTGTGCAATTCTAAGGTTATTCTGTGATTATGGTGATGATGACGACAACAACCACAACCATCCTTTCCAGAGTTTTCTAGCTCTTTTCAAAATACAGTAATGTGGCCTTTTTCCTCTGACAAATTGTAACTATAATATTCTACTGACATCAACATGCAGTTATATGCAGCTATTGAAGAGTAATTAAAAACTTTTTTTTTTTTGAAAAAAATTAGACATTGTGCTGATGAGATTTAAAGGCCATGGATGAAGATGGACTTGAACTACAGCCACATGATCCACATGAATTTTTTGATCCTACAGGTATGTGTAGAAATAAAATATGCCTGTCAAGCTATATGTAACCTGTTGATTTTTTACCGAATGACCTCAGAATGTTCCATGCTTACTTGAAGTTAGTTATTTTTCCAGAAAAACTGAATACTGTACAATATAGCTTATGAGCAATATTTTATTGTTAAAAGATAGTGCTGGAAACAAGGCACAATCAGAAAAAAACACTATACAGTACATTATTTTAAAATTAACCCTTAGGGATGTGCCATTTGGATTTTTTGGACTTCAACTTCCAAAATTCTTCAAGGATTGCCCTGAATTCTAGGAGTTCCAGCTCACAGACCCACTCCTTCAAACACATTCACATTTCACTTACTTGGAGCCTTGATGTGGCTTAGCTTCCTGTTAAAAGAAGAAGTGACCTTGTGCTACCTGAGAGGTGTACCCTTGCTGCCCATTAAGTTCATGTTGCTTAATGGGGTTGAAGGCTGAAACTCACAGAATTCTGCCTGGAGAATTCTTGGAACATTCTGGGAGTTGAAATCTAAAAATCCAAATGGCACACCACAACCATATTAATATTTCTCTAAGTTGAGTTGAGGTAGAATATTAATCATTTCCCTTAAAAACAGATAAGGAGTACTATGTTAGATATGTATAGTCATTTATGTTGTGCAGGGAAGCACCTTATGGAATGTCAGGAAAGATCAGGTCACTTGAGAGCTGATACTGTATAGCAGTTACAGCTTGCAGTCTTCTTTAGGTTTCTTATTCTCCCCACCCCATGTCTTTCTAGTCTGACACTTGCATCAGTCAGTTCCAGCGCCTCCAAGTTCTTTCCAAACTGCTCCCGTACAAAATGATTATTAAAGAACTGTGATGCTAATAGAAATTAATGAGATTGGTGTAAACCTTTTAACCATAATGGAATGTGTCACATGAAATTCAAGAATATGAATCAAGTGTGTGTTGAGAATGTGAGAGCCATCTAGGTTTAAATTTTGTCTAGCATTCTGATCAAGTTTGAGATATTCTTGGAGTCATAAGCAGAACTTACCAGTTACATGAAATTTTGATTCTGGTGCAGCTTTTAAATCTAATTTTATCTGGTTTTTCATATATCATTTTTATATATTTCAGGAGCTGATGGAACTCACATGAATGGAGATGAAATTGTAGTCGAAATACAGGAAACTGTATATGTATCAGATGTGGAGGATTCTGATATAGCTGTTCATAATTTTGTTCCTGATGATCCAGATTCAGTTGTGATTCAAGATGTTATTGAGGACGTTGTTATAGAAGATGTTCAGTGCCCAGATATTATGGAAGATACAGACATACCTCAGTCTGTTATTATACCTGAACCAGTGCTGGACCGTGATGTCAGCGAAGAAGTGTCTTTGGCACACTGCACTGTTCCAGAAGATGTTTTATCTTCTGAGATCACAACTTCAGCAATTTCAGTACCCGAACATGTACTCTCGAATGAGTCAATGCACTTACCTGATATAGGACATATGGACCATGTTGTTCATGATCATAATAATATTGTAGAAGCAGAAATTGTTACAGGTTCCCTTGGAGAAGATGTAGTTTCAGAAGTTTTGGTAGCAGACTGTGCCTCTGAAGCTGTAATTGATGCCAGTGGAATACCTGTGGAAAATGACGATGAGAAGGGCAACTGCGAAGACTACCTTATGATTTCCTGTAAGTGTCTGGGTAAAGTATTTTAAACTTTAAAAATTATTAAAGTTTTTTAAAGTTATTTAATTTAATTTAAACTTTAACTATTAAAGTTTTTTTTAATTCAGAGTGTTCTCTTTGATTCAGCTGTAGTTCTTGTTGTGTAATTTAAGTGTGGTTGTGCTATCTTAAGTAGTTGCCAGAAGAAAGGGAAAAGGGAAGAGAGAGACCAAGATGGCAACAGATGTAGTGCTGAGGAAAGACATAATTATTGCACATGTCTCATCATTTCTGTCAGAGAGTAAGCACACAAAATGAGAGAAAGTGAGAGGGAGGGTTAATGATACAGAGGAAAGAGAAGCACTGTGTTTCCCCAAAAATGAGATAGGATCTTATATTAATTTTTGCTCCAAAAACGCATTAGGGCTTATTTTCAGGGGATGTTCTATTTTACAATCATGTCATCATCTGGTTGCTGCACAATGCTGTACAATGGTGGAGGGCGGGGTTTCACTTAAGTGGGGCTTATTTTGGGGGTAGGGCTTATATTACGAGCATCCTGAAAAATCATACTAGGGCTTATTTTCAGGCTAGGTCATATTTTCGGGGAAACGGTATTGCTGAGGCAGCTATATCCTATGGGCTAGCATATGCATGTGTAAATGTTATAATTGTGCCTGGTACAGTGGTGCCTCGCACAGCAAGGTTAATCCGTCCCGGATTAACCCTCGCTGTGTGAAACATCGCTGAGCGGGGCAGAAAAGCCCATTGGAACGCATTAAACATTGTTTAATGCGTTCCAAATCGGCTGAAAACTCAC